GTACATATGTACGTACCGCTTTCACTTTGCTGGGGTCGTCGTTGTCGTTGAAGTTCTTGTTGACTTCGAGGCGGAATTGGGGTGCTTCCGACTTGTTCTTCAACACCATTCCTTCTATGTAATCAAATGTCTTCTCCGAAGTTATTAAGAACTCTTGGTCCCTCGTGAAGTCTGTGAAGTTTGTATAGAATGCCTTAATCTGTTTAACCTGCAAGCATGCATGCATGCATGCATACACGTAATTAACGACACAGTCGTCTATCTTCCACATATTGTCGTTGTGATCACTCGGTTGTTACGTTATTACATCCTTTTATATATCTCCTATTGACCAACTATTAAGGAATGTCCTATATGGGTGTCTTACCTTTTGTGGCGCCGGTTCAAGGATGATTCTTGCTTTAGTTATAATGCCAAATTGCCCAAGTCCTCCAAGAACAGCATAGAAGAGGTCCTCGTTCTCCGTTGCGGAACAATTCACAATTTCACCAACTCCTGCAATAATAATATTCCACTTTTCAACACTTTTCTTAAAGAAATCCCGCGTTCAGAGCGGAAACCGGGTATAATCGGGTACGTACCTGTGACAACCTCGAGCCGCAGCACATTGCTGATCTGTGGGCCGTACCGGAAAGCCTGCCCGCTAATCCCGGCATTCGAGAGGGTCCCACCGACGGAAATATGCAAGTAATCCGTCCAGGACCTCGGGGCCAACCCGTACTCCAGCGTCTTGTTCAACACCGTTATCCACATCGCCCCGCCCCACGCCTCCACGTAAGGCGGGTTTTCCTTCGGGAAAACCTGCGTTTCGTACAGGCTCGACAACCCCATGTCTACCACGATCCCGTTCTTCGCCTGCCCCTGCCCGCCGTTGGAGTGCCGGTTTCCGGCGGCGGCGATCGTCAGCTCCGTGAAGGGCTTTAATAAGGAAGCCAGCTCTACGGTTCGGGCAATCTGGTCCACGGAGGCCGGGTACAGGACGGCGAGCGGGGCATTGTGGATAATGTTGCCGTAATCGGTGGCGGCGTAGCTAATGTTTGTGAAGCTGAGGCTGTTCCCGTTTAGACGGCGAAGCGCCGCCTTTAGGGAAGACGAAGGAGAAGGAGGAGGAGGAGGAGAAGACAATGAGAGATTAAGGTTGTAAGCCATTATTAGGGTTATTAGGACTAATAAGAGACTGTGATTATTAATGCCTGATGGGGAATACATTTTTTTTCTTTTTATAGTATAGTTTATGTATATTTACTTCTTTGATTTTAATTTTTTTCTTTGAGTTATGTGATATGGTGAAGTGGTGATAGAGGGGGGGAATTTATAGGGAGGAATTTTGGTGGTAATAATTAAGTGGTGAATAACTGTGTTTATACACTTTGTTTTTAACAATTTGATCATCTCATAGTGGATATGCCACATACCATTTCATGGAAAAATCACTGCATTGCTAGCTACCCCACAAAAGAGGGTCTAGCCTTAATTAATTTTTTATAGAGTTGAGAGGGTAATAGTGGAAGACTTAATGTAGAGTCAATAATTTTTTAATTTTGTTTATAGGTTTTGACTTTTTGAATTGCTAAAATAATTCGGAAAAAAAGACTAAATATGAGTAAAACATTAAAAATATACTTGTATTAAAATAGAAGTTTCATGTTTTTATTTCTGAAATTAGTTCAGATTATTATGGTAAATTTTTTTAAAGCAATGTAACTTATGTGTTTAAAAGGGTGCTTGGGAGTGATTTACTTGCGGATAAAGTGATTTTCACAAAAGCTGAAAGCAAAAGCAGCTCATAACTGCTTCTCCGGAACGATGTTTAATGTACAAAATAATGGTGGAGAAAAACAAAAGCTAACATGCCAAACAGAGTAAAACCACTTCCACTCAAAGCAAAAACTAAATTCTTAAAAACACCCTCTAAATCTTTCAACCATATGAATATTACGGATCAATAACTCATTAAGGTATGTTTTGTCACTCTAAATAGAATAATAGGAGTAAAACATAGAGAAAGTACTAAAATAGGAACTTCATGTTTTTATCCTTAAAATGGAAGCTTGCACTCAGTTAATGTGGCACTACATACGAACACTTCACATTTCACAACACTTTTTGGTAATGTATATGGCCATGGTTGACTTTGTATTTGTATTTTAACTCCTATTTCCAGAATAAAAATATGGAACTTGCATTTTGATATATTTTAAATGTTTCACTTCTCCTTTCGTCTTTTTCTTTAATTTAATTTGTTTTGATTTTTTTGTCCAAATCCAAAAAATCTTATTTGGATGACTTCAATGGGAAATTTCAAACTTTAATTTTAGTTCTGTTTAATAAACAAAGAATACAATTCTTTGAAATTAAAATTATTTAATAAATATTAATAATTATACATAATTTTTCCCTAGACTTGAGTGATAGGACGCCTTCTTCCCAGAATTTATGGGGAAGTTGACACAGGTTTAAGTCCTAGTGGAGGTGGAGGCATTGGGTTTCGATGTATTATTAAGTTGGAAACAATATGAACAAATACATATTAGTTGTATGAGTTCTAAACTAAAATAAGTAAAACAAAATTTGATACAACAATGCTAAAATGTATCATTTTAAAATGGAAAAATGTTATTAATGGAAAAGAATGGTACAAGTATTTTTATGTGATAACATAATGCCTTATTTATGCATATGCCTTTAATTACGGGTAAATATATCATTTTGTTTCAATATGGTTCCTTTATTTTTACCTTTCCATTATTATTACAAATAAACAAATTTAGCTTACTTTCTTTTTCATCTATTCTCCTATTTTCTAAAAGGATTTAAAATCCTTTATACTCCGTAATATTCTCTTTTTCTATGTATAAAGGAATGTTTTAATTTTTCAGTATTCTTCATAATATATTATCATTGTATAAATATACAAATAGAGGTGAATTCAATAGAGCTACATTGTTGTATTAAACTAGTATCACACCCGTGCGTTGCACGGGTCATTTTTATGTTATTAAATTTAAATCATTTTTCAATGATAATAAGTGAGATGCAATAGAATATAGAGATTATATTATTTTAAAAGACTTCTTTATAGACTATATTATTTGTACAACTTGTAGCAATATTGTCTTCATTGCATATTAGAATCTTTAAGCCACTACGATTAGTTACTTTTGAAACAGCAACATAGAGTTATTCATGACTTAAAACATCAAAAGTGTGGACCTCTCATCAACATTTTTTAAAGCGGTTATGAATTATGATCCCCATGTTCGTACAAAAGGCGATGTTGAAACACCGAATAAAAACACACGTTGAATAATCTTACTACCTTGGCCTGGAAAAGGACCGTATTTATAGCATATATAATTCTAATAGGCTAATTATAGTAAGAAGGATTAAATTTTGAGGAATTTACGTAAATAGCACTAAAACATAATGATTTTCCCTAAATAGCACTACATTTATTTTTTTCCCAATGTAGCACTTTTAGTCATTATTCATTAGTCATTATTCAAGTAAATGTTTGCCATCACTGGTCATTATAGCCATTATCAAGTGCTATTTAAGGAATAAAACAATTTAAGTGCTATTTAGAGAAATGACTTAAGTTTTAGTGCTATTTAGTGCAAATATTTCTTAAATTTTTTCGAATCTGGGTGTCTAATTATTCTTACCATAATTATTTTTTCGAAACTGGGTAATTAATTATTCTTACCATAATTATATTATACTATAATAATTGATTCCAATTTCCAATTTCCTAGCCACACGGTTATACATAATTAATTATTTCCAATTTCCAATTTCAAATCATTGATTCCAATTTTAATAAAAATTTGCGTGTTCCAGTTTTATAACTTACCTATAGAGCTGGCAAATCGGTCGGTCAGGTCGGGTTCGGGTTCGGTCACTTCAAGTTCGGGTTATTTCGGGTTCGGGTCAATTCGGGTTCGGGTTGAGAACTGTATGTTCATGACCCAGTGTCGTCGGGTTCGGGTCAACCCAACGGGTTATGACTTTGATTTTTTAAATTTTTAAATTCACATTAACACTTACATTTTCTATTAAATAAATTTAAAATATCATAAAAATGTATTAAATCTATAAAATTATTTTATTTTAAACTCTGAAGTAATTTTTAGATATATAAACCAATATAAAGAATTTAAAAATGCTTAAGTTTTGGAAAAAAGTAAGATAATTATGTAATATCATTAAAATTTTGTCTGAAAATATAAATTTATACACTAAAAACGAGTAGTAAAGTGTATGATTTTAAAAAATTCTTACTTTAACGGGTCGGCCAACTTCAGGTTTGACCCATTTTTAGAGGGTCATTTCGGGTTCGGCCAACTTCGAGTTCGGTCATCAAAATCTTTGTTCAAAACCCAGTGTTTTCAGGTCGGGTTTCGGGTCAAAAATAGCTCGGGTCATTTTTTGCCAGGTCTACTTACCTAGTCACACGATTATACAATCAATATCATACATTGGTTAATTATTATCTTTTTTAATTATTTCCAATTTTAATAACGTAATTATAATAACGCTTTTAAACATATTTTGTATTTCTGGTTTTTTGGATTTTTTGATATTACCTTTTTTAATTATTTCCGATTTCAAATCGTTGATACCAATTTTAATAAAAATTTACGCTTTCCAATAAAGTAACTTACCTTTTTTGCTAGTATAATTTTGGACACTTTAAAAATGACAGTTAATTATTCTTACCATAATTTCGGACGCTTTCCAATCAGTAATCATAATAATGTTGGTTAATTATTACCATATAACATGTTGATTCTATTTTTATTAAAAACTTACACTTTGCAATCTTATAACTTACCTTTCTCAATTGTGAAATTTGCACTAAATAGGACTAAAACATAATGACTTTCCCAATGTAGGACTTAAACTTTTTTATTCCCTAATTAGGACTTAATAATGACCTAGTGGAAGGAATAATGTCCAATAATGAAGGGCATTTACTTGAATAATGACTACTTTATAATGACCAAAGGTCCTACATTGGGAAATAAAAACATATGGTCCTAGATTGGGAAAGTCATTATGTTTTAGTCATATTTAGGTAAATTTATCTTTTTAATTATTTCCAATTTCAATACGCTGATTCCAATTTCAATAAAGTAAAATTGTATTAACTTCAATACGTTAATTATTACGGAGTATAAAATAATAATTATATTAACTTCACGCTTTCCATTTTATATTACTATAATTTCGGACACTTACCATTTAATTTCACAATTGCCATATGTAATGGCCATACTTCGTGCACGGGTTAAAAATAGACATTATAATTTCGGACACTTACCATTTATATAGGTAATAATTAAACGGAGTATAATTATTACAATTTTTGGTTATTACCTTTCTTGTGCTATTAAAAATAAATATAAATATATATTTAAAGGGTTTTACCGTATTAATTTTTTTTCAAAAGTGTGTGTATAATTATTCTTACCATAATTATATTATACTATAATCATACACACGTTTTTTATATAACCTAGTCACATGGTAATCATATAATTCTATAATTATGGTAAGAATAATCATACACACGTTTTTAATAGCATTGATTGGCGTGTATTAAAGTTTATAAATATGTTTTATAAATAATTTTTGCCTATTTTATAAATATTTTTTATAACTTACCTTTCTTGCTAGTATAAATTTCGGACACTTTAAAAATGACAGGTAATTATTATAAATATAATATAATAATTATACTTATAAAACGTAAATTTTATATTACTATAATTTTAGACACTTACCATTTTAACTTCACATTACCGCCATATGTAATGGCCATACTTTTTGGGCGAGAAAACGCAATATTGACTCCATCTTTGACTCCAACACTCCACCCGATTACTCTTATCTTCACGTATTTAGGTGCCTTGCTTATCCTCACCTCCGCCATGAGATTGATCATAAGCTCCGGCCCTGTTCCAAATGTTGTGTCTTCTTGGGATACGAACAGTTGTCAAAAGGTTTCCAGTGTAATGATCCGTTCACTAATCGAGTCTACGTCTCTCGTCATGTCCAGTTCAATGAGACTGTGTTTCCTTATGCTTCTTCCCGTCATCGTCCCTTCCTCCACAGTCCTTTTTTGGTGTTCTCCCTCTATTTCCCCCAATTCCTTCCGTGAACTCTAGTCCCGCTCACATGGGCCTATCCTT